TATACCGCATTCGAGGTACCTACTGTTGGGACTTGTATAACTTCAGATTCCACCGGTTTTGTTTTCATTTGCAACTGACAAAGGGTAGTCTAATAAACCATTTTAAACAAAAAAATATTTGGTGTGGTGTGGATGAAACAGTCTTCCCCGAGAAAACATAACCTTGAAACATGAAACTAAACCACTGGCCCAAAGATAAGCCTCAGTATGAGCTTCCTCAAAACACCTTTCCTTTGGACAAATTAATATTCCCTAGATATAATTGCCTTGTATGTAACTAAGATAAAACAATAGATGGCGCCAGAAGTTATGTGTCATCTAATGCAAAAAATGGATTGAATTAATTTTTTTCCACGTTTTTTCTCAACAAATCTGTATAATTATTTAGTTTATTATAGCTTACAGTTAAGCCCAATGGATGGTGCCACTTACATTAGCTTTATCTGGCGGGTAATATGCCAACGTCCCGCCATGCTGGTTACATAGGTTTAGGGAAGTTGCTTTTATTTTTCAGATATTTAAAATGTCCGTTATTCTGTAGGTAAAACCTTAGTCCACTCTGTACATTGTTCAGCGCTCAGTTTATGATTTTGCGAAAAATCTGGTATATAAAACAAATGACAATCTGATAATTTCAAGGCCTACCTAGGAAATTCTGTTTTTTTTAAATATCAGATTTGGCAATTCTCCCTGCAGATATTGTTCCCTTCTTTCTCCCCGACTTTGTCTGGTATCTGAGCAACCAAACCTGTCAGATCTACCGAATTACAAGACTTTAACCAAAAGCAAAGGTACAACGGACGCTCAGACAGACAATAATCAATAATGAGTAGAGAGTGGTTTGGCTGTTTGGCAATGTCAATGTATGACGTATCATACATTTTTGGAATCACAATTATACAGTGTGTTCCAAATTCGCTTCTCTATACAGGGACCTCGGCTCTTGTTATACCTACAGCAAAGGTTAAATGGGAAAGGTTTTAGAGGAACTTAGTGCATTCGATAGCCTGCTTCAGATTTACGATCGGTCAATTGATTTTGGAAATATCGACGAAAAACCGAAAATGACGAAGTCTGTTTTTTGCTAGTAAATCCGAAACTGTTAATTTGACAGCTGTCGAATTCGTTTTTTGTTTTGCCTCAACTTTCATTTTTTATGGCCGCCATATTGGATTTTTCAGGTGCATAAAAGATTTGAGTATCATCGAAATATTATCACACGTGCCATGATGTATTTGTCCGAAAATAAAATTAATAAGTAACGCATTTTTCAGGAGGCTCTGACTTTGACATTATTGAATTCAAATATTTAAAATTGTGTTTTAATAAGTAGTAGGTACGTTTTCTCATTAAAACATAAATCTGACAAAAAAAATTGTCAAAACCTGTTGAAAATGGTCGGTATTCCCTACTCAAATGAAGACAAGTTTGAAATGTTAGCACTGTACTTGCAGTCACACAAAAACGCCGACATTACCTCAGTAGGATACTTGGAGATGTACCCCGAACGACGGCAGCCTCAGAAAATCCAATTTAGAAAAATAGTACTTAGTTGATTTAATAAACCTTGGGACCTTCGAACAACCTATAAGCGGATACAATATTTTAAATGAAAATCGCGACAGAAACATTTTTACAAGCTGTCAACGAAATCCCTTGCGCATCAGTAAGAACTATAGAACGAGAAATTGGTGTGGTCAAATTAACAGTACAGAGCGTGTTAAATAAGAATAAATACCAGCCATATTTCAAAGACTTAAGGAAACTGATTTTCCAAGGCGAATGCGCTTCTGTGAATGGTGTACTAGGAAGTCTAATAAAAATCTCGATTTTGTTAAGCATGTCTTGTGGTCAGATGAGAGTAGGTTTACGAATTGTGGACTCTTTAATAAGCACAACACTCATCATTGGGCCACAAAACACATAAGACTGCATTGGGCTGTGGAAAACCCCCACAAAGTGACAAAGAGACGCCTACAGACCAGATTTGGAACTAACGTTTGGTGTGGGGCAGGATTATTATGCTTAATCAAAATGTTTAAAACAAGTATTTTAAACACTGTTTAAAACAATGAAGGTGTTTTGAACCAATTTGTTTTAAACTGTTTAAAACATGTTTAAAACATGTTTAAAACACTTTTTTGTCGTTTGTGGGTTATTCAAGTTTTTTTTATAGTTTTTAAGTATGATTAAAATTGATTTTATTTTCCAAAAACTAAAAGGGCCATAGGTTAAAACACATAGGTACTAAAAAATAGACTTTATTCTTTATTAATTAATCAAACATGAAACTAGGGAACTAATACTAGTGGAAAAAATCTGTTTCTTAACGAACGAGTGAACTTAATAAACTGCATTGAACTCTAATACTAGTACACTACAAGCAGCAAAATAATCATATAATATGACTATGTATTTACTTGTGTAATAACATTAAATAAGTTACTTAACAAATGTCTATAAAAGTATACAACCCATCTTATTTAACGCTCAATCAAAAAATCCTTAAATCCATATTTTTAAAATATAAAATCATGGAAAATGTACATAGAAAAAATTTGTAGTTTTCACTACTTTTTACGGAACTCCGGGAAAAAAAATTTACCTTTTTCACAATTCTCCAAGCTACTCAACTTTGAGGAAATTGGTTCGGTATAGAAACATCATTGTCGGTATCAGAACTATCTCATGTATGAATATTTTGTTTTTCTAATAAACTTCCTTGTTTAAGTTGTTTAGAATTTTTTAAAGGATTGCGCATTCTAGCCACCAGTGGCACCATATCCATATTGCAGGTTAAACATTCAGTCTCCTTAAAATATTTCCACACGGGATCCTTTCTCCTCCCTGTCATTGCCTTTCTTTTTTTGCCGATATCTATGCACAAAAAAACGGCACCATGTTATAACTTCGCATATTTGACTGCTGGAGATCGCAACAGTGTTACCAGATCTACCTCTAAAGCGGTAGGTACTTCTACCGCTTTAGAGAGCCATCTACCGCTATCCAGTTTTACTTCTGTAATATACGACTTTATCATTCTCGGAGCGTAAATACATAATTTGCTACCGCCATCTCACGGTAACCACTAATAATGGTCAGGTTTCCTGGTCAGGGAATTCCCCGACCCCGGGAGAGGGTATTTACGGAAATATTTCGCTGCCATTTTTATGCCCGTCAGTCTATCTATAATCAAATCCAAGCGAATAACCAAATTTTCTGTGTTATGTGCCGAGGTTATAATATGGTTCAAGATGACACACGGGTTGATGACGTCAGTTACACGAATCGCTTGAACGCGTTGGTTTTAACCGCGGTTTTGTTGCAAGTTGTTTATTTTAGAAAAGCGCGTATATAATCTCTGATTATTTTTATTATCACTTAATAATCGGTGCTTTTTCGTCTACAACTGTATATGGAAAGATTAAATAAGAAACCTTTCATAATATTCATGGGAGAAATGTTTTTTTCAGATTTTTTTTTAAATGATGGAACCATGGCTTTGTAGCTATGATAACTTTCAATTCTCTAAATTTTTCCGCATGTCAAAGAAAACATTTATTGATTCAGCAGAAATGATGAAAAAAGATATTAGCAAAACCGTAAACAGGTGGATATCATCTAGTGAGTTTATATGGCCATATTTTAATATTCTTGTGGTATATGGATACTTTGTTAAGCATAGGAACTACATTTAAAGTGTCCCCAACAACCGTAATGAGTATAACTAATAAGGTGCTCCACTTTATGGTAAAACTGAAGTCAGCCTGTATCAATTTTCTCAAAAATGAAGCTGAAGTAGCATAACAATATCCAATACCCGGCAAAATTCTAACTTGTTACATTTCAAATAATAACCACAAGTATAAAACTACTCTTGAGTTGGGTAAATACCACAATTTTGCGGTGATAACTATGACATATAACAGCTGATTCGTGACGCCACGGATCTTATAACCAAACTGATAACTACACTCGCTTGAACGGATTGGTAAATACCAACCCAAAATGGTAAATACCATTTCCATTTGGTTATCCGCTTGAATTTGATTTATATCATTGATTCCCAAAGTGGACTATACTATATCGACCCCCATGGGGTCTATGACAACCTGCAAGGGGTCTACGTCAGTGAAAAAAAATTTGGGGGTCCATGAAATGAATATGGGGAGGGGTCCACGATAGTGGATCTCAACACATACACTGATAGTACCTATTTACTTACATCATACTATCTTATAATATCAAAACATATACATTGTTTATAAAAGTACCCATGAAGTAAAAAATGTATTATATATGTTTATAAAATTGTGTAAATTGTAGGATGTTGGTATTCGCATTGTGGTCGCAATACATTTTGAACTTGTAAAAACCTGAGAGTCGCAGTCTCAGAGCTTCGCTACCTTGCACTGACTTGTTCAATTCGTCACTCTATAAATACGAATGTGGGACAAATACGTTTATTCGTTTCCTGAATCTTGAAAAGGAAAGTGCTAAGAAAATATTTTAAAAAATATAAACAGATAGTATATCACGCAAATTATATTAAGTCAGTGTTATTTTGTTTGAGAGTGCTGGAGAAAAGTAAGTACATTATTTTTTATTAAATTTTAGTTTTGTACTCGTAGTTAGCAAAGATAGATAAATTACGCCATTCATGACTTTAGTTATTAGTAGTTAAATATTCAATCATGCAAAATTACACGAGTACTCCTCAATAGTTTCTTTTTGAAAGTTTTAGCAATCGGTAATATAATTGCAGTGCAATCTCCGTAATTCGAGCTAATTGTTGCAAGATGTTCGAATTATGGTGTTTTCGGAAAAATCAAAAAATATTTTTAATATACAGCTGCTGGATTTTCTGTCTTATTTAAATAATTTAATTTTGCCCACATATGACTGATGCCATGTCCTAATCTAAAAAGAAATGTAGACAGTACAGTGTTGATTATTTGAAATTTGGCTTCATTCCATCATTGCCGGACAAACAATCGCTTATGTGCCTTTTATGCAACAAAGTTTTGGGCAATGACGCTATGAAACCATCTAAACTGCAAGATCATCTGAGAAGATGCCACCCTGATAAAACAGAGAAAGATTTGAAATACTTTCAAACACTCAAAGATAAATTTCAGAAGAGACCTACGCTTCGACGTCACAAAGAAATGATGATGGTTTGCGGGCGTCTTACAATATATCGTTACTTATAGCAAAATCCGGAAAACCGCATACTATCGGAGAGAAGTTAATTTTGCCAGCCGTTGAAGAGGTTTTAAAAACTGTTTTACACAAACCTGCATCTGATATCATTAAAAGAATTCCCTTAAGCAACAATACTGCTGAAAGACGTATTGATGAAATGAGTTCTGATATTGAAAGCTTCTTACGTAATTATTTGCAAACGACCCATTTCTCTATACAACTGGACGAGTCAACTTTACCTGATAATGCAGCATTATTATTGGCATATGTTCGTTTTATTATGAATCAAGAAATCTACGAAGAACTGCTCTTCGCAAGAACTTTGATAACCGACACTAAAGGTGAATGAATATTTCATGTTTTGAAGGATTACTATATTGAAAAAGCAATTCCTTTATCAAATATAATATCAGTAGCTACAGATGGAGCACCTGCCATGGTTGGGCGTTATCGTGGATTTATAAGCTATTTAAAACAAAATTTGTCAGGGGTATTAGCAATACATTGCGTCATCCATCGACAACATTTAGTTGCTAAAAATTTGAGTGTTAGATTGCATGAATCACTTCATTTAGTCATTGATGCAGTAAACCGAATCCGAAGCAACGCGTTGAATACGCGGTTATTTGCGCAGTTGTGTGAAGAAAATGACGAACACTTTCATCAATTACTCCTTCACACTGAAGTACGCTGGCTGTCGAAAGGCTTATGTTTGACAAAATTTTTTGCACTTTTTGATACTATTTTAGAATTTCTGGATACTAAAGATGAAATTTTAAAAGAAAATTTAATGAAGAGGAAAACAGATTTGTTTACAAAATTTAATATGGTTAATTTGCAATTACAAGGCGACAGTTTAAATTTGATTAAAACAAAGTCCATCTTATCAGCGTTTCTTGCCAGAGTTAAACTAATGAAGCAAAATATTGGTCGGGGCGAATTTTCTCAGTTCCCCAATTTGTCACAGACAAGCTGCCAGGAAGACGACGTTTCAACTTACGTTCAACATTTAAATGCCATCTATTCAGATTTTGAATCTAGGTTTGAGGATATTTTGACTATGGTAATACCACCGTGGATAATTAATCCATATGGTGCCATAGAAGAAACGAATGTCATAATACAAGAGGAAGTGACTGAACTAAGTACAAACGAAGAACTTCAGTTTAAAAACGGATATCAGCAATTCTGGCTGCAAAACAACATACCCGTTACTTATCCCGTATTATGGAATATAGCGAGGAAATTTTTAATTTCCTTTCCATCGTCATACCTAGTGGAAAGTGGGTTCAGCGCTGTTACCAATCTCCTAACGAAAAAAAGAAACAGACTGGACATCATTAGCCGAGGAGATTTAAGATTAACCCTTACAAAATTGACGCCAAATGTTGATAATTTATTATTAAAGCATCAGGTTCATCCTTCTCACTAAAAATATTGACTTATTGCTTATGTTATTTTATTTATAGTTTATTTTATGTTTATTGGTGTCTGACCAATAAATGCCCGCATTGGGAATAAGTGCCCGCATTGATTTTTTTAAAGAACCCCCCTTTATAGAAAATATTTTTTTTTAAATTCTGAAAATTCAAGGATAGGTACACACTAAAATTCGTTAATTTTTTGCCTATTTTTAGATAACTTAAACGTATAAGAAGCGGAATTTAATCAAACTAACAGTGAAATTATTGTAGAACATACGTTTATGTTATAATTAATAAACGAACTCGCTTATTTTACTTACTTTAAGTAAGAACTTTTTTTTATTACTTTTCACTTTTTTTATTTTATCCCTTTTATTTTTTTTCAATGCGGGCACTTATTCCCAATGCGGGCACTTATTGGTCAGACATCTGTTTATTTAATGTTACGTATATTTTACATAACAGATACAAAATTTTATTTTGAGTAGTTTTAATTTAAATTCAATTAACAAATGTATAAATTAACATGTGTTTTTACTTTAAGTTTTTAACACTAAACTTCACTACAGTTAGAAATTTACAGGAAATCAATATCAGGTAAGTATGGGGTCTTCCAACACGGAAAAACATGGCAAGGGGTCTACGACACAAAAAACTCTGGTATATATGTTTTGTGGCGTCGACGTACAATGTGTGATTTATTTATTGTTGTGCAATGTGCATTGGTGGTACGTGTATTCCGGAATTTCCATAAAGATTTTTTAATATTGGGCCTCTTTTTTGGTTGAAGGTGAGTTTCTAAGCCTATAGGTATGATTTTTTTTAATAAATATGCTAGTATCATAAAAATATGAATTATTCAAATATTCTCTTACGAACAAATATTTTACTAAAATAATAGTTGAAATTTTGTAATAATAGGTACAAGATGGAAAATTCTAATGCCCTTATGATATTACTTATGAATATACAGGGTGTCCGCAAAGTTGGGGTTTTCCTTTACACGACGTGTAGATCTTGAAAACATAAGCAATTTTTCTTAGTACCATATACACCAATGTCTTAAGGGAACCGAGATAAAGGGCTCTGCAACACCAAAAATATCTGAATACCGTCCTGTAGCCGCGACCCGCGATATCTCAGACTGGTACCGGCTACTAGCTGAACCCGACGACAGAACTGGGTCGGGGGTCGGGGTCAGTGTGTCAGGTCAGTCTGCAACCTTCAACCGACGGTAAAGGGTCACGCGTATAGAGGTAACGAACCCGTATAATCGATTGCGTTTCAAAAAAAAAAATAATAATGGCACACTCATACACCAATAATGAAATCGTTGATATGTTGTTAATTTATGGCGAATGTCTTCAAAATAATACAGAATCGTCGCGAGTGTATGCAGATCGTTTCCCTAGACGACATCATCCAAGGCCCCGCAGATTTGTGTATCAGAGAGTCAGGGATACGGGCCATTTGGAGGAATTTCGTGGTGGGCACAGTGGGAGGCCTAGACAACCACGAATGGTGCAAGTTGAGGAAGAACTACTGAATCGCGTAGACGAGAATCCCTCAACAAGCACTAGAGACGTGGCTAGAGAAGCGCAAGTATCAAAAACTAAAGTGTGGCAAACGTCCAACGTGTACAAGCACTTCAACCTGACGATTTTCCAGCAAGAGTGCGGTTTTGTGAGTGGTTGTTGCATCAACATGACAATAATCCAGACTTTTTGAAGTGCATATTGGTGACAGACGAATCTACGTTCACGCGTAATGGGGTGAATAACTTTCGATTTCAGGCAGAGACGTACTTAGCCCTTCTCGTCAACTGGAGAGTGAGTACTTTTTCCTTTATTTTTTTTTTACTTGGTCGCCCTCGTTTCACTACACATTACCTTTGTTATTTCAAGGGTAGTTGTTTCTGAAAAGGAAAACCCCAACTTTGCGGACACCCTGTATATATATATACTAATATTTGGGGTTGAAAGGATTTTTTCTGAAAACTACCCAAAGGAATCGCTCAAGTACTATTATAGGAATATTACACAGTCAAAGACTAATTACAAGTAGTTTTGTTTCGAATGCAAGGGAAACAATGAATTGAGGTTAATGACCAAAGATATTCATTAGAATTAGCTAATCAATATTCGTAATGCTTATTTTTCTTAACTTAGTTTAGTTTTTGTCGATGTCAAGAATGCCTATTTTTTGAGTCCTACTTGTTAGTTCTTGTTTAGAACATATAATAAATCGAGTTTTATGTAGAGTTCTGGCATAATTATTACAGCTTAATAAAAAAATGCATTAATTTATTGTACGACTAGCAATTTCCTTCATATACTTTTTTCTACCGCTTTTTTGGACCAAGTTTTACCGCTTTATGAAAAATTCATCTGGCAACACTGGAAAATTATCCAAAGGCAAACGGTACTTCCCAGACGAAAAATAGTAATAACACTTTCAAGAAACTTCATTAACGTTGCTAGATTATATAGGCAATAGTTTTTTTATTTTTTTTACTGTTTCAAACATTTTTTTAGCCATATTTGAATGTTTTAAACAGAAAAAAAACAGTTTTAAACAAAAAAAATTGATTTTTCTTTTTTTTTTGTTTCTTTGCAACCCTGGTGTGGGGTCATTGTCCTTTTTTAATTGGGCACCTTTTAGAAATTAGGTATTCATCATTTCAGGAAATCCACTTTTAGGACCATTTTTGTTTGACTACAATCACAGCAACCTAAACAGACATAGGTACCTAGAGCTTTTGCAAAACCAGGTTGTGCCGGCTTTACGAGCTAGTCTAACCGAAGAGGAGTTTAGAAAAACTTGGTGTCAACAGGATGGATGTCCAGCTCACAACACTATTCAAGTAGGGAACTTCTTAAGAGAACAGTTTGATGACAGAATAATTTCGTTAAATGGTTCAATATCTTGGTCTCCTAGATCCTCTGACCTTTCACCCTTGGATTTCTACCTCTGGACCTCTGGGTTCACACAAATAATGAGGTCTATGAATTTGATCCTCCCGCGACCATAGAAATCCTGAGACAAAGAATTTTGAGCACAGTTAGAAACAACAGAAATACACTAGCTGAGGTTGTATGAAAAACAATCACCAATTGTCAAAAATGTCTGAATGCAAATGGATGTTATCATATGAATACTAGGCAGTCTGATAAGTACCTGAAAATTCTAAGAGATGGCATTAGTATTCACTAATGCGAACCATTTTTGTCGAGCCTGATCCTTCAAATGACACCTGTCAAAACTTCAGCCATTCATGTTTACACATTTACAAGTTACAGCACTGAGAAGCGACTAACCTCAGAGTTTTTTTAATATGGAAAAATCCGAGTTTCGAGTTTTGATCAAACACTACTATCTACGCAAGAAAACGATATCCGAGACCAAGGCCAAGCTGGATAAGTATTACCCGGACTCTGCACCGTCGATTGGAACGATTCATAAGTGGTTTACGGAGTTTCGTTGTGGCCGTACAAGCACAGTTGATGCTGAACGATCTGGGCGCCCAAAAGAGGTCACTACACCAGAAAACGTCGAAAAAATCCATGATATGATGTTGAATGATCCCAAAGTGAAATTGAGAGAGGTAGCTAATGCTGTAGGCATGTCATTGGAACGCGTAGGCAATATCGTCCATTCAGTTTTGGGCATGAAGAAGCTCTGCGCGCGATGGGTGCCGCGTTTGCTCACAGTGGACCAAAAACGAATTCGTGTGACGACTTCCCAGCAGAATTTGGCATTATTTTCGCGTAAGCCGACCGAGTTTTTGCGACGATTTGTAACCATGGATGAAACCTGGATCCATTACTACACTCCTGAGTCAACGCAACAGGCAAAACAGTGGGTTCCACCGGGCCGAAGTGCTCCGAAGCGTCCAAAAACGCAACAATGGGCCGGAAAGGTTATGGCCTCCGTATTTTGGGATGCTCATGGCATAATATTCGTGGACTATCTTGGAAAAGGTAAAACCATAACCGGAGCATATTATTCATCATTATTGGACCGATTGAAAATCGAAATCGCCGAAAAACGACCGCATTTGAAGAAGAAAAAACCGCTTTATCATCACGACAATGCGCCTGTTCATTCATGCTTAGTTGCACAAGCAAAATTGCACGAAATCGGCTTCGAATTGGTTCCTCAGCCACCGTATTCACCAGACCTGGCCCCCAGCGACTATTACTTATTCCCTAACCTGAAGAGATGGCTCATCGGTAAGCGTTTTTACTCAAATGAGGAGCTCATAGCTGAAACTGAAGCGTATTTTGGAGACCTTCCGATCGAGTACTTTTCGGACGGTATCAAAAAGTTAGAAAATCGTTGGATTCGCTGTATCGACCTAAAAGGAGAGTATGTTGAAAAATAAACCCGACTTTGGCCAAAAAAACGTCTCCGTGTTTCATTTTTCAGGGACTTATCAGACTGCCTAGTATGTCAATCAATACCCACTTATTAAATAATTAGATTTTACATTACAATTTTTTAAAAAGTTTGTTTTTTGAAGTGTAAAATAAATATACATCATTTTTTCTGACTTGTTTTTTCAACACACTCATAGTTGGAAATTTGTCCAAAAACATTTGACTTGTTGAAAATTCAAGGGTTTTATGTGTTTTTTATGCCTTACTCATTAATGTTATTTTCTGACAAATCAATCATGGCCTCCTTAGAAAACTACTAATACCTAACCTTAGGTGATACTCCAATCTGTTATGCACTTATGCAGACATCACTAGACTGGAAATTTTACACTCTTCAAAAATTAAAATATCCAATAAGAAAAATGAAAGTTGAGGCGGGTTGCTGGAAAACAAAAGACGATTGAGACATGTCACACATGCTACATTTTCTTGAAAAAATGTCCGAATGACACATTTTGACAGCTGTCAAATTAACCGTTTTGGATTTACTGGCAAAAATCAAATTGACCGATCGTAAATCCGAATCCGGATATCGAAAACACCAAGTTTTCTCTAAAACTTTCCCCATT